CAATCCCTAATGTTCTGTGATTCTGTGTGATCCAGAGGGAGAATTCCCAACTCAATCCACAGATGGTACATTACAAAAACATACTTCACGGGATCAGGTTGAAAAACTCTGCTAACATGGTCAAAAATTCAAACAGACTTCAACTCCATACACGTCTCACATACCTGAATTACTAGTTCCCTGAGCCATCTAATATGCATGGAAATTCTGTGAAGCTGGTTAAAAACAAAAAGTATTTGTATTCTTATTTCCTCTCTATTAGAATTAATCTACTTGAGTAAGTTAATAAGGTTTCATAAAATGGGATGGTTTGTGTAACTTCTAACACAATTAAACATTAATAAACTCCTGTGGGAGCAAGATTAATGAAGTACAAAACGTCTTCCTGAGTTTTATCTTACAACATATCATTTTAACCAGTTATGTATTTCTCTGTACTCTGTAAGAAGTTTTATACAGCAGCAGAAGAGTGATGAAACCACACAGAAAAGTCACAACATTTACAGAATAAAATATGTGCATCTCATGCTCAATTTCAAGAATGAATTCCACCGTAGCCTAAAATAAACAACTCTCACATATGTCATATATATCCATAATCTATCTGAAATATTATAGTCCATCTAGATAGTGATTAACGTAAAATTCCACTTCTCTGGCCCTACTTGCAGCAAAACCAAAACGCTATAAAACCAAAAGCTAATCACCTATCTTAAATGACAATATTAAATTAACTCTATCCAGTTACCTGTGTAATTCCGTCTGACCTTTTGTGAAAGAACATTTCTACGTGTCTGGTTTTTGCTGTCTCTTGAGTCTACTATGAGTTTTCTCATAAATCTGAGCCTCCATTTTCAGTACTACAACATAAGGTTGAAAGTACATTCTTCTTGCAATAGAGGTGCAAGTTAGAAACATTGGTCAAAATAAATACAAGGTAATTCTTTATAAATTTTTACCAGTTTGGTCTAAAAGACAGACTATGGAAGTCTGCAGAAAGTTTTTAAAATTACTTTTTCTTCATAAATATTGATATGAAAAAGCTATGTTTAAAAAAAAACCAAATGCGTAACTAAAATTAAAAAAATACCTGCAACTGAAAAATGAAATTGTTCTGGTTATCAATTTCTCAAAGTATTTCAGTGAAGTCTAAATTCCCTCATTCCTTAATCCAAATATTTCATTCCCTGACCAGCAGTTTCATTGACATGTTTACAGGAAGGTTCATTTTCTCGACAGATTTCAAAATATTCATTAGAAGTAAAACTTACATTGACATTCTTTGCAGCATTTGTCATCCACATACGTCAAGGCAGAGTTAAGCGGGCAGTCAAAGATGGGGCAAACCAAAGCCTCACACTGCACAGTACCGTTCTAGAAGAATAAAACGTGCTTATCTGGTAGTTATTTTTAGGAAGAGCAGAGATGTTCTCAAACACAAGAACTTAAAGTCTATTTTTAAATGCAATGAACTCTTTAACAATACCCAAAAAGACATTTTAACATGGCTCTTTTAATAACTAGAACAGAAACTATACCTTTAGAATATCATCCATGCAATATTTTAGACTTGTATGATGTGTTCTTTGAGATGATAATGATCAAACTATTTTTAGAGGCAGATCTATTTGGAGGTAAAACATTCTGCCAATCAGCAGCAAACTGACAGATTAGCGTGAAATAAAAACCACACAGAACAATACTCTGCCTTCTGATTTTTACATAAGAGAAAAAACACTTCTAAAAGGTATTATAACATAGCTGCAAGAAAAACCTGAGACAAAAATACAGAATGCATTTAACGCTAAATTCAAAGCAATTTAAATAGCTGCTGACCATATTTGATATCATGGCCTAAGTCTTCTTCTCATCAAGCACAAAACTCTAAAAGCAAAACTAGCATCCCTCCAGGTATATAAGGATCAAAGTCATACTAAGTTTAAGGAGAATGATTTGGCAAATTATAGATAGCAGCAAATCAATCTAAGGTGTGGCACAGACAACAACAGACTTTTTCACCAGTTTCCAATGGCCTTTGAATTAAGTGTTTAATGAGTTTAAATGGAATTAATGTGTTTTAAATGAATGGGCAATAACAAAGATGCCATGATTTGGTACCTGAAAGGATACTTGCAAATGCTTCTGGAGTTGTAATACATTTGAGAATCTTCCATCCGCATAACAAATCTTTTTCTTTTGTGATATAACAGAGCAGGAATATGACCCTGACATTTTATACTTTATTACTTATTGAAGTGTAACCAAAGGCAACTAAAGGGAATCAGGCACAGGGGATCTATTAAATCATTTGCTAAGAAAAAGGCTGTGTTTATAGTGATAAAAAGCAGAGAACTGATTATCCAGAGAAACTGTTTGCAACTCAGTGCACAGGAATAACATGACTGCTGAGTATATTGCATAGCATTTGCCTTTGGTGACATGAAATATAGGAGAGCTGCACACACTGGCACTGCTGAAACAGTAGGAAAATGTATTTATTAATACTATTCCTTCAATTTAGAACAAGTTTTCTAGCATTTTGTTGTTACTACCTAGCATACAGCTGGAAGTTCTCATTATTTGCCTCAATAAGACTGTAATCAGAGGAAGGAAGCACTCAAGCCCCTGAGTGTCTACTCAAGCTGTAGTCATACCATGCAAGTGCAGTTCTTGCAGCCATCTGTCCAGGATTCAAACTCTCTGTAAGTCATGCCTTTCATTGTGCACGTCCTTTCACAGTAGCACTGATCCAACTTGTTCATCCTCTGCTCAGCTTGGGATAACTGTGTTTACAGTTCACAAAAAAGTTCTGAATTTGTGAGTGGTTTTCAAATTAGTATAAACATGATTAAAACTGTTCCCCTTATCGTCAAGCATGCAGATGAGAATGCATAAATAAAAAAGCAGTCCAAGATAATATGTTAAATACATTATGATGAAACTATCAGTCATTCAGAGAGAAATTCAAAACCAAGACACAATGCATTTAGTTTTTAACATCAGAGACATCATGAAACAAAGTGAGTATGTCAAGATGGGTAGGGCCCCTGATTTTTCATCTTTGCATATGTGAACTGACCAAGAAACTTGCTCTGCATAAACTACTTGCAGATAATAGGTTATGCATAAAAGACCTGAATCTGGGTAGAGAGGCAAAATAGGTGGTAAAGCTCAAAACCAAGATGTTAGCAATTGCTCCTCCACTTCAACCAAGGCATTTTTAACATTTATGTATCAAATCAGACAGGTAACAGCAACTAAAGAACTGACATTTAAAACCAGTCTATGTTCACTAGCAGACATGAATGGTTTTTGTGTGATATTCTATGGAAAACAAAAACATAAGGAAAAAATGCTGGTTTTATTCTTAATTCTTTGTCTTGCATATATTTTGTCTGAACATGACTTTGGCAGCTCAGGTCTAGAAAAGTCTTGGACCAGAAACTCTTGCTGCAATAAATGCTAGAAGCACAGTAACCTTTTTCATCCTAGGTTTGTTGACTTGTTAGCCTAATAGATAGAGCTTGAATATCTATAAGCCCTTTTCTTTCTCAGGGATTTGGATTCTGTGTCCCATTAAGAGATATGATTCTATGAAACCCTTGAAACACAAGAAAGCTTTCTGAACTGAGAATTTGTATGTACAGAAGCTAGGCACAGATATACAAATAAAAACATTTAAACGTCCCATGCAGAGTTGTTCTGCACATACTCATGTGCACACCCCTACGTATCCAAAAATAATCTAAAAAGACAGCAATTAAAGCATTAGAATCCTCATTTCTCCCATGCCATGCCTCCTAGTAAACATTACCTTAGCTGATGTTTTGGCTAAAATATCTTGCAGTTCCATAATTTTCTGCACAAGTCCATGGAAGTCATTACAAGTTGGGCATGCTAGAATAACAAAATATGTATATTAATTTAAAAACTCCCACATACTCACAATAGGTTCAATCATTTTAAAGATTACAATCAATACACTGAAACTCAAGGTTTTAAGAAAGCTTGCAGGACAGAAAGTAGGTACAAAGCACACCTTTCATTTTATGGTGTAAGGATTAATAGACTTACTGCGATTAAGATCTGGGCATTGAGAAATAAATCCTTGAGGCATGACAAGTAATTGCACATCCTGCATTATGCCCTGTGTGTCAGTGAAGAGAAAAAGAAAGGATACATTATTTTTACCTGTCAAAATTGTAATTTCCATTCACCATGTAAAACATTAAAGCCCACCCAGAAAAACTGCCTGATAAAAATAAAAACAAACTTATGAATATACAGCTTCTTGCCTGGACCCAATGCAATGATAGAAGAATAAAGAGAAAGTAAAATAGATAGATGTACAAATACAGACATACTGAATAATTTTAAAGACATAAGATTAAATGTTAAGATGTAATTATGTGGCAATAATTTAGTTGTTTTGAATTCATTGTTATTTTGTTAGCCATTGCAGAAAAGCTTGAAAATTATCTTTAAAAGTAATTTGAAAAACAGTTGCAGTTTCATTTACTTTGAAACACTCTTAAATAAAATGCAAATTTTTCACTAAGCTACAACTGTCAAATATAAGTGAAGATTAAAGAAACTTGAGTCAAGAAAAACACATTCATGCAAACCCTTTATGATTTCAGTGGGGATCTTTCCTTAAAGCATGCAGGACACTAAGAAACTACACACCTGTTACACAGCTGCCAAGGTGCGAGTTGGCAAGAACTTAGGGAAGGGGAAGCTTTGCGTGAAATTCAACTATGACAGCTGGAAAGGGACAGTTTCACCCAGAAGAACAGAACCCATGCTTGCAGGCAGAATTTACATGCATCCTCAGTCATTAAGATATAGTCGGTAGCCATTCTGCTGCTCTCCAAAAGCAAAGGCCAAATAGCAATTTCAAAGTGAGCCATCCTATCATATTCGCTCCAGATGTCCTTTTCATACATGACTCTCTCCCTGCATCTCCAAATCTCTTTCTTAGGAGGAAAAGCAAAATAATTACAACATGCTTCTGCATGCTTAGGAAGAGAATGTGTCGTGACACTAGGAGCACAATGCAAATTAAATGCAGAAGTCCACATTCTTCTTCCACATACATAGGGCATTCATTACAGACTTTGCAAAGCCAAGAACCAGAATTTTGACCTCAAGTGGATGATGTGGGGTAACTTAGCAACCTAAGCGACCTACAGAGAAGAGCAGGTGTCACTGGAGGGCAGCTAAGAGGGTACTTAAGTACTATGCCTACCTTTCTCCCTTAACAACAAAGCTACAATCTAGGGCAACTGGACACTCCCAATGCTACGCTAGGAGCTGCAGTGATTCACAGAATCCTTAAGGTTGGAAGAGACCTTTAAGATCATCAAGTCCAACCTAACACCACCATGCTCACTAAACCATGTCCTGATTAGCTAATAGTCAAAAACACAGTCACGTCTGAGACAGGGGTCCACATCAGGACCTCCCACAGCTCATGTTCTGGAAGTCAGTAGCAAAGATCTCTTCAAAGAGCACACCAAAAAGCTCATCGTATTAATTTCTCCTCCTTTCCTTCCTCATTACCATTAACTTCAAACCCATGTCAACTCAAGTTACAGTATTTTCATGAAAAGGAGGAATGTCAGAGCTCAACCCATTCAGGAGCTTTATTCACCATACACCAGTTGTGATATGAGCTGACTCTGCCACTCACCAGGAATTCAAGTTCCTTCTCATTCTCCTAAAGAAGCAACAGGGAGGGTGACATCTAGCCCACTTGGGCTCGCAAACCAGGACCTCCTGACAGTACATGAGAGGCTTTGCACAGGCTCCTAAAGAACCTGGTGGTTCAGATTAACACATCACTGGATGCTAGGTACTGAGAGCAGTTACACAGTACTAGGAATCAGATAGCCAGAACTGAGCTCTCAAACTTCAGACTTTGAAGTGAAACAAGTACAAATATATCCCAGTGTGAATATGCCTACTGGCACACTGGCTTGCTGCAGTGGTATTAGGTCCAAACTCAAATACAACCAAATCAAATCTTTCTCAGAGTGAAATGATTTTGAGTACCTTTACCTCGCTGGACAATCCATTTTATCTACTCAGAGCAGACTGATTTTTTGAAAGAGCTAAGCACCTGGACCTCTAAAAATCAGATCAGTAGGAGCTGTCTCACAGTGAGCATCTAAAAATATAGGCTCTTCAAAACACTAAGAAACATTGAAAGTCTTCATCTTCTAAACTGACAAACCTGTACAACATTTTCATACACAGTTTGACCATTGGCACTATATTCTGCTGGAGAAATCATTTAGCACAGTGTATTTTGACCATATTAATGCTCTTTTAACAGCTCTCCATTTCTGTACTTCTGTTAAACTGGTTTGTATTTGTAACTGCAGCAAAAATTCTCTATGTGTTTTCTTGAACTGTCTTTTTTAAAAAGAAAGAAACAAAAAATAAATACAGTTCACTACAGGACTATTTCTTTTTCTAGACCTAATGAGCTTCTTCACAGTGACTATGATTTGGCAAAAAGAATATAATCAATTCAAAAACTGAGAAGGTACAAAAAATTTAAAATAATATTTAAAAAGTACTAATTATAAGCATGTAAAATAAATGAAGTGTATCTGAGATCTGTTTAAGCAATGCATTGATATTTTCTAAATTTATTTTTGAAGTGAACAGTTTATTTAAGCCAGAAATCCAATTTTGCAGCCTGTTCAGCACATATCCTCTTAGTCTTTTGGAGGAAAAGGAAACACATACTGAAATGAAAAATAAAAACAATGTCATGCTTCAGTTTTCAAATCTGAGTGCCCCACTGGACCTCCGAACTTCATAAACAGCAAGGATATAAATTAGCATTTAAGTATAGTAAACAGTATTTCAATACCCAAAAACTGGATTTAGCTCAAAAGCACAGAACTTGCTATGAAAACCACAAAGTGTTTTTCACTGAAAAAAAAAAGTTTTAGAAGGTCATATTTTAAGAAGTGATTGGGTCTGAGATCAACATCATAGATTCTGTTTTGCAGTTCAAGTTAAAAGATGCTCACAGGGAGGAAAATGGGACTACAGTGTGGACGGCATCCACAGGGATGCCATCATCTGTTAAAAACAGCTCCAGAGAAGATCAAGGCCAGACCACAGACAGCTGCTGTGACCAGTGAGTGCTATCTAATGGACTTAGAGGAATCAAAATTTACACTCGAGTTCAACATAGCATCCACTTCTTCAATCTCGCTGTACACCAGGTGCTTGCTATATATACAGAAGCAGTATATAAAGCTTGCTATATAAAGCAGAAGCAGTAAGCAAAAAACCACGTACAAATATTCTTCCTCTGAGGGAAAAATCATTCTCTTCATTGATGCCAGTCATCTCATTCATTTCTGAGCTGAGAAGATATTGAGAAAAATCCTACAGAGGCAATGAAATTGTAGCTCCCTAGACTAGTGTTTTATGACACACACAAAAAAGTATCTAGCTACAAAACAGACAATGATCTCAATATTTATTTCCTGTAATTCTGTTGCACTTCATCATTTGCCTTTCCCTA